CACAAACGTGTTAACACTTGACACTTACCACTGAGAAACGTCCTGTTCCAGTCCTGCTTGCGAATCAGTCTCTTGTCGATCAGCCAGTTCAAACGTTTCATCATCAGACTCCGGCTCGAATTGGTAAGGTACAATTCATACCATCTTTTCTATGTATTGACAAGTCTTCAGGGCTGTCATTCCGTCATGGGCGGGGTTTAGAGAGACTGATTCTTTGAACTGCTTCGCACGAGTCATTTACGAATAATTTAGAAATGAGGTCAAATTAAATCTATTTTCTGAGAAAACTAACTGTTTTTTGACCTTGCATGCACGTAAACGTGTTTTAGGAGACTCATAAAACAATATTAGCAACCTTAAAAATGGCATAATAGGGGCACTTTAATAACTTCACTGTAATACACTTTACTGCCAACAACTATCAGGACAGTAGTGATGTGTGAACTGAATTTGTAAAGAAATAAAAAATAAAAATAAAAAAAGAATTTGGTGACAGTACAGTGTATTACAGTGAAGTTATTGAATATATTTTCCATAATAAATAAATCATAACAATTATACAAAAATACATTTTTTCCAAAATAAGTGTTGCAGTATAACTATCAGGACAGCAATGATGTGTGGACTGAATTTGGTGACAGTAGAGTGTATTACAGTTAAGTTATTGAATATATTTTTCATAATAGTCGTTATTGAATATTTTTCATAATAAAAAATCATCATAATTATGCAAATATATATTTTTCCAAAATAAGTGTTGTAGTATAACTATCAGGACAGCAGTGATGTGTGAACTGAATTTGGTGACAGTACAGTGTGTAACTTCAGTGTGAAGTTATTGACTGTTTTTGTAGTAACGCTTTTCGGGTTTTGCACTTTGCAGACGGTCCCTTCGAATCTGTCTCTCAACCGCCTGCGCACAGAGATCAATGTATTTTTTCCCACTGCGGAGGAAAGCTGGTTGAGAGGAAAGTTAGGTTGTAGTTGCTTGTCTACGGTACTACGATTGAAAAGAGGTGTTATTTGTGTAGTAACAGCGTTTAGCTCAGGAGTTATTGATCCGGGAAATTCAAATCTGTGAATATGCGGCCAACTGAGAGATGTTGCTTACAACTATTCAATTCCCATAGAAACCGCAAGGGCGCATCAGCCGTCCGCCTCACTCACGGCCTCTCTCACTCTCACGGACTCTCACACTCAAGCAAGTTTGAGCTTTTAGTGTTCGTCAATGTTTGTGTCACTATTTAATGGTCTAAAACCGAGTGAAGAGACAGCAGTTTTCCAGCGGAAGAAAATAAATTTATTCTTTATATCATGGCGACAAATATGTTGATGTTGATGCTGTCACTTGTGTTTGTGATCGGATATACGAATTCATGTCCTCATAACTGCGAGTGTTCCCAATGGAAAGCCTTCGCTGTTTCATGCATGGGCATAGATGTTATTCCTTCGTTTCCCCCAGTTACAGAATTCTTGTAAGTATTCATTCTTTTATTATTTATTTAATTTTATTAAACTTTCTTTCTTTCTTGTGTGTGTGTTTGCGTTATGCCTCTATTTTGGCGGTTTAGAGAATTATCTGAATAATATTCACAAATCTAATACGAGAAGTGTTATTTCAATTTAACCGAAAACAACAGTGAACGATATTAATTGATACAGTTTACGTATATAACGAACATAAACAATTATAGCAATTATAACCATTATAGCAATTATAACAATGTAACACTACACTTGGGCCTGTGATGCACATGTGTTAGGTTAACATTAAAATAGAAATCCCATGACACTTTATGTATGTAGGCCTATAGATAGATAGATAGATAGATAGATAGATAGATAGATAGATAGACTTTTGCTATCTGCTCTATTTAAATTCTCCTAGGGGATGCTGAAGTGCGTCGTTGTTTTGCAATTAGTCTACACTGAGATTAGCAAAGGAGGTCTTCAGAGGTTGAGTTTGAGATACCAGAGGTAAATCCAACCCTCTTATCCTCAGCTCAGTAAATCGGCACCATCCTGCCCAAGTGGCCACAAGCTCTTTTTATTTATTTTTTGTTTCGTTTTGTTTGTTTGTTTGTTTTTTCACTTAATAGATATTACATATTGTGACTTGAGACTTTTGCATTCAGTTAGAACACTAGTGACTTAGTTGTACTAATAATACTGAAACATGTATTATTATTATCTATTAATATCTAAAGGTTCTAAAATTATCCCATGTGTTGTGTGTATCATGTTGTAAAAACATACTGTTTAATAGCAATATAATCTTCTATCATTAACATATAGTACAGCACATTCAGACAAGACCTTCAGTCATGGATATTAATTAGGATTTTGGCCAACCAAACCCTAAAGGCTATGCATGGAATCCTATTTTATTTATTATTATATAAGAAAAAAAATATTTTAATTTAATTTAATATTAAAAAATGGCTTTTCTATATATTGCTGTACAAAGAATTGTTGTTTACTAAACAGCAGTGTTGTCTTCAATGTTGAATTAAAACTAAGTGATGATAATTTGGGGGGTTTTAACATTCTTAGACATAATGAAATAAGCCTTTTGATAATACCCTTAGATCAGACATTTTTACTAATTTATTTGAGCATATATGCATAAAGTGAAAAAAAAATGTGTGTAAAATTACACATAGTATCTCTCTCACTCCATAATGTACTGTACTTTATCTTTACATGGTAGAAAATTATTGCAGAGGTCTGATTTTTTTAAAAGGTCAACACTCACATTCACAGCAATTAATGAAAATAAATGAAATTTAATTGTTACCATTGTTGTGGTTCATGTGCTGAATGTTTAAGTCTGTATGTGACTTTAGCAAAGTACCACACACTATTTAAGGAATATATTAACCCAACTAAAAGCGTTGTGAGGTATTTATGATAAATGTTCATTAATAAACTCACACACCATACAATAATGCTTTAAAAATAATCTAGGTCACTTTCTAAAAGCAATATATTTATTACTTTTCTTCTCTTGAAATCAAATAACGCTCACTTCATGATGCATTGCTGCATTAACAAGAACACAATTATAATAACATAAACCAAGTTCCAAGTGCCCAACCTAAGGGAACGCTAATCACTATAATGGTTAAAAAAAAAAAAACACATTTTAGGAAAATCAACATCAATTGAATATGAAGTCAGCTTATGTGATGTTCTCTCAAATATTTCAGTTGTATTGAAAATTCAACATTCAAGATGACTTTGGGAAACGAGTGAATGCAACTAGTGAAAGATAACTGCAGACATGGAGGAAATGGGTGAAAAGTCTATTAAGACTCTTTTTCTTTTCTTCTTCTGTTGTTCTGTTGAGCAACATATCAGTGCACTGCTTCCTCTCACTGGTTTATTAATGTCATTGGTTCCTTTGTGGCTACTTGAATATTTTAAGTAAGTGTCACTCAAAACAGTAAGTAAATTGTTTTATTTGCCTTGAAAGTAGCTGGAACTTAATAAAACCTAGTAAGTATAACAACTAAGTACAGATAACTAATTAAATCTAAGTAAGGTAAACTATTGGATTTTACAGTGTAGGACATTGATGACCTCTTCCGTTCTGTTGACTAGTGCCTCATGCCATACTCTAATCCACACACTCCGTCAGTTTGTTTAGCCATCCAAGAACATTCCTCCATGGCTCGTCTCTCCAGTCTCGATTACATTATCTATTTTTCCTCCATCTAGCCTCGTCAGGCACCATCACATGAAATTACCGCCAAATCAGTGCGCCAATTGAGGCTGCCGCCCAAATTTGGAGCGCAACATTCCTTCCTCCTCAGAGTGCTCGCTTGAAAGGAGGTGGACAGACAAATATAACTTTGAATACACTGCAGCCAAAAATAGACCAGATGGGACCAGTAACTCCTGATGGAGTTTTGGTTCCTTTGCCACGGTCATGACTTGCATAGCTGGGGCATAAAAGACAATTATACAAAAATATTATTGCTATGACTGAACTGAGACTATCAGATGAGAACATAAACCTGTAATGTTGTGGTTCAAAACAGGATATATATTTTTTTGGTGTTCCATGATACAGGATACATTGATATGACGTTTGATAAGAATGCGCATGGTACCACTAATGGCACTAAAGTCTTGAAAATCTTTTAATTCCTTTTTTTTTTTTTGGTGACTGTAGCCTTCTTATAACACCTTCTTCTATAGAACCTTCTTCTAACCTTCTTATAACACCTTCATCAGTTGTGTTGGTATACCTTCCTCCAAACCAACTCATTTCCCTAGTTTGCTTTCATGGTTTTGCACCTTGAAAGACAAATTGAGCAAGTGCTTTTCTTAAAGACTGAGGTTGGCACATGTGTGTCCGCTGTAATGTGGTGCAATTATTTGGATTGAGGTTGAGGTGAGCCAACCAGGAGTGCGGTGTAAAGTAACGGTCTGTTCACTGTCACAGAGTTTGTTTAATTTGTCAGGGTGGTCTTTTCTCCTTTGTGTCTGTCTGCCTGTTCCAGCTTTGGGCTGTGAATTAGCCCATTGTTTAAACACCCATCAGTGGCCTTTTCTGACAAGTGAAAATTGAACCATAGTGAAGTATATTTATATGCTTTTATAAACAACAATAACTTGACAACATTATTAATTATGTTTTCTTTGCCATTTAGAGTTGTAGCTGTAGTCTGTGTAAACAAGTTATAGAGGCAACATTTTCCTTTCTATAGCAAAAACAGGTGAGATATTTGTTTGATTTGGCCACGATTAAATCCACATTATTTAGTTTAGACTTTCCACTTCAAAGAACTGCTCCATTCACTCAAGGAGAAAACAGGCAGTAACCACACTTTAAACATAAACACTTTAATTGCCTCAAGACCTCTGTAAAGCACTATCCAGTCTCTTATTTTTTATAATGGAGGTCTTTTCGGACTTACATCCTTCGGTTTTGGTCTCTTCATCTAATAAGTTTCCAATATCTACTTTATGACTATATACTGTACTTTTTATGTTTAACCAAGAATGTCCTTAGGTTATGCCAAACTTAATTCTAACCTTTACTCTATTCCCAATTTGTGACCTATACAAATCCGTCTTCGTAACGATAATTATATGCTTAATGAAAATCTCTATGTGGCTTTAAAGGACTAGTTCACCTAAAATAAAACTTATTATCATACTCTCATGCTGTTTCACAACCACATGTCTGTGGAACACTGCTATCTCCAATGTGCTCTTTTACATGCAATGAAAGTGTACTGTAGCTGGATGGACTCTGTTAACCTCCAGTGGCATAGAATTAGTATATGACTTGTGCACTAAGTCTTCTGAAACCATACAATACCATACAATAGTCAAGAAGATATTTTCAGTAAATAAATAGGGGTTCAGGTATTAATAATATTAAATTTAGGATTTTTTGGTCACTATATCTCCATTGTGTTATTTCATAGTTTTAAAGAATTTACTGTCCACCTGTTAAGTCTGACTTAACTTGTCACCTTTTCCGATTTCAAGAGCAGATCCCAAAAGCAAACAACATACCATGCTAATATATACTCACTGTGTGCTGTTATACCAAAACTGCATGATCCTAACATTTATATCCATACCATCTTTGGATTTGAGACTTTAGTCTTTGCAACTTTACAGATCTTTACCGCACCAAGAGCTTGTAACACTCCAAAGAGAAAGGAAAAATTGAAATCGCATCATATGACTCCTTTAATTGTTCTGACTCTGATTCATATTCTCTGAAATGTTGGTGTCCAGGATCCCAAAGGCTCCTGTGTACACTGTGAGTTTTTAAAAGCTTAGCTTATGAGCAATAAATAAATAGTGCTCATAAACAACTGTGGACATTAGCCCCTTTCACACATACAGTCTTTACTGGTAAATTACCAGTAAATTACCGTTAAGGGCACTACAATTCCCATCCTTCTGCTCAACTGCACTCACTCTGCAATCACCCTCACCTGTCATCAATCTTACTCATTATCAGCTCTGCATAAAAGCACACATCTCAAATCCAGTGATTGTCTGGTCTTGTTTATTGAAGGATTACTTACCTGTTTGAACTTACCTGAGCGATTCTCTCCAACCTTCTTCAGTTGACCGGCTCCTGCTTCAGTATCCTGCTCACCAACACCATTGATCCAATACCTGCAACAGATATTGCTTCTGCATTTACCTATTTATCAGTTACTTACCTGCTATCATCGCTTGTCTGCCAAAACCTGCAATAATCCTGTTGTTTGGAGATTACCTGTGTTGCATTCTTCTGTTTTGTGACACAGGGATTTATAGATTAGAAGTAGCGATAGAAATTAGCTGCTCCAAGTCCTCCAAACTGTTTAGGCTTTTGGAGTGTTTTTTTTTGTTTGTTTTAATCCCAGTAAAACGTAGATATTGTACAATTTGTGGAGTGACAGGAATCATAGAGAAAAGATAATTGATATTTGGGAGTGTGTTCATTTTTACCAATGAT